AAATACCGAACTATCCCTTTAATACTTGGATAATAATTTGTGGGAGGGTAAAGCATATCTTCAAATAGGTTTTGTAAAAACAGAAGACTTTTTTCAAATTAACTTTCAACACTTATCTTCTCCAGACATTTGTTTTGAATGTTAAAATTGAAAAAAAAAACTAATTAATTTATTGTAGATATTTCAAGCAAGCCAACATAAGAGAAGATAGAGCACAAGTAAACAAACACACGATCAAAGGAGAGGAGTGAAAGACAGCAGGGACAGAAAGAATAACAATACAAAACAAATTACTATGTCTAAATTTTCTAAATCGGATGATAGATCAGATAAGAATAAATATATTGCACTAATTTAACATGATCTTATTTTATTAAGGGCAATCATTATTTTGTTATTGTTTAAGATTCTTTTAGATGCTTGACCATTTGTTGTGAAATTTTTAAACCAACCCAAACAAAATCTAATCTAAATAGTTCCATGGTGTGGTTTTATTCAACAGCTAGTTTGCTTTTTTCCAGAAAAGATTTGAATAAACTAATGAAAAGGCAACAAATACAGTGCACACAAATAACAACAACATTTTCCAGATAAGGTTTATTACACTTATTGATATGCTGGATTTGCAGTTTAACACCTTTCTACTGTAAAATCATCCCATCTCAAGATGTCACACAGTGTACTTTTTGGTCCACAAACAACAGATATGATACAAAAGAAGTAATATTGCAAGTATGGTCCTTAGAACAGTTTCATCTATTGGCAGACCTAAAATATGGAAATATATTCCTGATTATTAAAAACGGTTGTAGATATGCTGCTAAAATCACATCATATGAATTCTTCATAAAAGAAAAAAAGTGCAGTATAACTCTTGATGTCCATCAATTCATTAACAGGCATTGGCTGGTTATGGTATCAATGCAGACTGGTTTTCAAAAAATTAGTTTTTAAAAGCAACATTTTAGCAGTTTATGGTACTATGGTCTCAAAGATAAGTTATCAAGCAAAAAAACAAATAGCTGTTGGGAAAAGGTTGTCAGTTCTCAGGAAAAAAGTTGACGGTTCTTGTAGCTCTTAGAAAAAAAAAACAACGAAATTAGTATCTGTAAAAAAAAATCTGATCTTAGGAATCAATTTTTCTGGTCTTAGGAAAATGCCAGAGGCTTTTTTTTTAATACAGTGAAATCTTGAACAATTGAGCAGATCTTCATTTTCAGCCAAGCCATACATTCTTGCCTTAAAGATCTTAAAAGTTTATTTTGGATTACAGTAAGTGTATTACAGCTATATCAATTTACAAGCACAATTTATTCCATCATTGTTAAATTTTGCTCTCCAATCTTGAGCAATGTGCTTTGAGCTGCAAGGAATCAAGGCAAATAGTGGGGCCATGAAGGATACTCCAGACCCATCTTCTTTATCCAGGACTAGTGGATGTATTTATCATTCACATTTGAAAAAGCCCCAAGAGTCGGGAATAACAAGAAAAAGGAAAATAAAAAGTCAGGAATTAGAAAAGCATTCATTGCAGAACCATGACATATTCTTCTACAATCCCAAAACACAGTTTTAAGATGGCATAGGCAATAATGACGCTCTTGGACACTCAAATAACTGCTTGGTTTTTCAAGATTTTACTTAATTTAAAGAATGAGCTCTGATGCTTTCCTAAGGCCTGACAACTTTTTGCTTCAGACCTGATACCTTATTTCTTCAGACCTTGGGATGTCTTCAAATATACACCATACACACCTACACAATATGGTGAGTGAACCTTCTTGTCCACAAACAAGCCTACTTTCACATTTGAAGGGCAATAAATGTACAGTACTGTGGTTATATATTGGTTTTATGACCTCTATATACCGTACAGTTTTTTTTTGTTCCTTTTTCAGCCAAGAATTTTTAATTAGATTATTTCTAGCCATAAAAATAGAAAATACATTTTTCTTGAGGCCTATTTTATATCGTATGCTTGAGCAGTATTATTTTGAAGTTGTACTCTTAGAACTCTTGCCTAATCTGCTCTCCCTTGTATTAGACTGAATTTGTTTCTGTCTTATTTAAATGTGTTTTAAGATGGATTAAACTTTACCTTTGTTAAAACCCCCCAAAATGTTTTCTTTTTTACTTATGACAGGTATTAATTTTAACCAGAAGGGCAAAGCAACCCTGGATTTAATAATGTAAAACATTTGTCGTTTGTAAAAACTCCTTATTTAAGGCTCAAACCTCACTTTGTGTCGTCTCTTCTGCAGTATGTATTGTTTGTTGAATTATGTTTACAATACAGATGATTGCTAAATCATGTTATACAATTTTGCTTTGGATTTGTGTTAAGGTACTATCGTACCAGCCCATGCCTGTTAATTAAGTATCAGTTAAGGACACCTTTGAAGAAATGCTCAAACATTTTGATCAAAAGGGGGCATCTATACGTCTAATTGTAATTCCCAAGAAGCAAGGCAGTTTCACAACTTGATAATGGGCTTAGTCCACATGTAGCAGGGTTTATAAAAAAGTTGAACATCTCCCCTACACCATTCTTAAAAATAATACCATATACAGGAAGTATTTTAGAAAACGTTTCATTTACATCCTCCTACAGAAATACGCCACTGAGAATTATTTTAAACACAGCAGATGCACAGGGGGCAGTGTCCATGAAACTTAAACTTGACAGCAAATCAGAATCCAGCAAAACAAAAATCAACATGTCTATGAGAAAATACATTTTTTAACTCCACCATATGGTCAAGTGTATAAATAATGATTGCAAATCTGTGATGCAGTGAAGAAATATTTGTTGCAAACTGTGATCATATCCCTCCTTTCACGTACACGCAGGCTCAAAAAATGTTTAGAAATCTATACTTTGTCTGTGGTTTTTAGGATAATTAATTTAAAGGGATGCATAACGTTTGGCTGGAACGCATTGCAGTATAAAAATGCAATAGTTTTTCCAGATATGCTGCTACATGTGGACAAGGCCTCAGTAAAGGAAGGAAGCTAAAACATGCAGGTAGGCAACATGAGAGTCCCAAAATCCCAGGCTGCATGTTGCTGAAGTCTCACCTGAATCCTGCTGAGGCCAAGACGACTAATTGCTAATTAAGGCACACTGATGAAACAAGAGCTGAAGTGTAAATGAATGTGTCAGTCTGAAGAAGCCCTCCGACACACCTTTTCTCCCTTGCAAAGGAAAGGTAACAATATCCAAACCTGTGGGTGTCGTCTGTCGGCTCATCGTGGCTGGTTTCGATTATTCACAGGAAAATTAAAATTCTCATTATGTCTATTTAAAAAAAAAATCGAATGAAATTGAAAAACAGAAATGGAGGGGTGAAAAGAAGAAGTTAAAAATGAAGAGGGAGGATCAGGTATGATTCACTGGAGACAGGAGCTTGGAGGCATTCAGATAAACTATGTGTGTCTTTTGTTCATTGATGGGAAAATGAATTGTAGCTTTGGGCAAAAAAGGAAAAAAAAATGAGAGAAAATATCAGGGAATCTTTGAAGCAGAAATAATATGACCACAGCTCTTTTTATTAAAACATCCGCCAGATTTTTTCAGATGTTTGGTTGCTTTGTTGCAATCCTGATCACCTCCCGTTCCTAGGCTTTACCTTCTGCTGAGGCCTGGGGGCAGGACTGAGGCAGGTTTGAGGCAATGTCCCTGAGACTGTCTCTCTCTACTCGTATCTCCTGAATGTCCTGCTCAATGAGGGACAGGCGGCTCTGTTGGTCTTTAGCAGCAGAATGCAGCTTTTGGATCTTGGAGCCTAGTGCTGGGCTCTCCACACTCCCACGCAGCATACTCAGGCGGCGTTCTGTCTCGTTTAGAATCCGATCAAATCGCTCCAGTGGCACGCTCCCGTCTGGTCAAAACACACAGGGCAAGGAACAGATGGAGAAAGAGGATATCACAGAGGGAATCGGAAAAATACAAAGGCTTCTTTTTTCGGTTTATTAATGGATTGAATTCAAACAGCATGTCAGCCTGCGTGATGACCTAATTAAAGTGATTTGGTCATTATCCTCTTAGGCAAGTCACATGCTGACAATGAAGAGTCAAATCCTGGGCCTTTTAGTTGACTCTTCATTTTAAAGGGTTATGACAAATGCAATACTGTAAATAGTATTTGGCCCTTACAGGTTTAATTTGTTTGATCTTTTTAAGATAAAAAACAAATGCTTTAGATTATCAGATACATTTTAAGAGAGATAACATAATTAAATACAAAGGCAGAGGAACAAATCTATCCAAACCGAGCTTTAACTATGTGAAAAAGTAATTCCCCTGCCCCAGTCTTTAATTTACTCTAACGAACGACATATCTGGAGTTCAATAAAATTTTTCCTATTAGAATTGATTGCAATCAACACAGCAGAACTGAGAATTCACTCAAATTCTGTTGTGTTTTTTTGCTGAGTGAGAAGCATTATCCATAAATAAAAAAGAAAAATGGTAGAATGTTGAACCTTTTCAGGACTGACTGGCCTTCTATGCTTCAAGAGTGCATCAGTGTCTTATGCAGGAGGTCAAAGAAGAACCTAAACCACATCTGAAGCAGGCCTCATTCAGCTAAGATCATATTCCATGATTCAACAACAAGAAACAGACATGAAAAAGTTCTGAATGGGAAATCACTGATGACCAAAAGTAACTTAAAAGCCTATCTGACAATAGCATATAAAAAGAAAACACCTTTTTTGAATATTCACTAGAATATTGAGAATATTCAAAAGACTGACAAGTAAAAGGTGGATATTTTTGTTTTTTTGGTAAAATCTAACAGCAATTTAGAAAAAGAACATCATACCCTCTGTAAAATATGGTAGTAATATTAATAAAGGTCTAACATGCTAATGTCAGCAACTGATTGACTTAATAAAACTATTAATTGTTCTCTCTTGCAGAAATGTACGTTATCTTAAACACATAAGAGTAAACTAAAGCATGTCTTATTTTCTTTTTTTCTAAAACATAAATCCAGTTTTCCTTGTTTGCAGCAGTTCGTTGCCTTTTAGTCTCTCACTAAGGATGTGGAATATGGAATATTTCACGATTAAGAGGCATTGAAAATATTAGAACTCTATAGTGTTCTGTACCTGGCATTGTGTATATTAATATACCTCCACATTAACTCTAGAACCACAAATTTAGCTCCAGTGAAATTCCCCAGGCAGAAAACTTACCTATTTTGCTGATAAGTTCACTTAGGGTTACGGAATATGCCTCCAACTGCTGTTTAGCTGCTTCCATGTCATGCTTTATGCTGGTAAGGGACACTTCAGGCTAGAAAAAGAACAATAATGATTATATAGTTTTATGCTGAACAAAGGAGGTGCAGATCAAACAGAATGCTCATTGCATTCTGGGATGCCTGGCCCTAAAAATTGAGCACCAAATGATTTCTTTCAAGGGCCAAGTTTGATAGAAATTAATTATTATGCATAATTTGAGAAGTAAGAATTGTTACGTCTTTTGTTTGTTTGTCTTCTTTAACGAGGAAATTGTGACATGGAATATTTTAGCTTTGTTCAACTATTTACCTCTGTGCACCACCAATGACTCAGTTTCAATATCTGAATCCTATTTCTAAGTAAAAAAAATATCAAAAACAATGAAAAAGGCTGCTTCATGGTGCTGTTGCAACTTAACGTTGAGTGTGAATCTTTACGAAAGTTGGATTATGAATATTAAAAGATAAAGCTAAAGTTTGGTAATATTTTTAACTTCACAAAATAATATAAAACAGTAAATGCAAACTTGGTATCAGCTTAACTTTTTCAGAATATGTCTGACAGGAACCTTTTCAGAGGGGAATTAAGTGTCACCTCACCAGGGTGAGGCAGGGTGAGGCACCCTCAGTTCGCAGGGTGCCTCACCCTGCGAACTGAGGCACTGTAAACCTGCATCAAGGCGCTGCATTGTTTTAGTGCTCACTGTTTAGGGCCCGCTGTCCCAGAATGCAAAGCGCAGCAGCCATGTTTTTATAACTCTTGATTCGTGTACATTGTATGCAGAGATTCTTCAGATCAGACATCCTAAGATGCAACCTCAAGGCAGATGTCTTTACGAAGATTTCTGCTAAAATGCTAAAATATTTCAAGGTGTTGAGAAATAAGCAAACAATTCTTTACAGCAATAGTTATCTCAAAACAGCCTGATAAAGTCTCATATGTCATAACTGCCTCAGTACGATCTAGACAGCAACATATCTGAGTATTAAACCTAGTTTTCTGAAGAGTCCATTTTTTCTTGTCTGGTTCCATAAAATGGCTTAGAAGGGTTGTATATAAAATATATTAAGACTGTCAGACTATATTTTATAATATGCTCCTATAAGCACAATTTTATACACTTCTGTTTCTCTGTTTGGCTTTTAACTTATTACATTATTTATTAATGTTCTAAATTTACATTCATAGTTCAGCACGTCATTCCTCTCACATATAAATGTGTTGTTTAAATAAAACGAAAGACAAGAATCCAAAAGAAAATATTAAGTGTGCAATGCATCGTATATTCAAATCCCTGTATTGCCTTAGTTAATACTGTGCAAAACCCTGTTTTGTTTCGATTACATTTGTGAGTCATTTGGAGTATATCTCTATCAGCCTTGCACATCTAGAGAACTAAAATGTATATTCTTAGGTGGTCAGAGCCATTTCATTGCATCTTCAGGTGCATCTTTTGGGTTGTTGTCCAATGAAAGGTTGCAATCTAAAGACTTTTTTCAGCATAAAAGGAATTTTTTCTTTGGCTCTTTCTTCACATCAGTGTTGTCCATGCTTCATTGTATCACTAGAGATATGTATTCCCACAGCTAGATGCCTTTACTTTTTGAAACAATACAGTCTGACAGTTTTTTTTTATGTCTTGTAATTTTAATAATTATTTTAAGCTGTACAAGGACTTCAGTCCTGATTTTCCAATGTGTATGCAAGATTCTCCTATTGGGTAATTCTACTGCACCTAATATTGATGCTTCAAATGGTTCCAGAAAATATTGCTAAGATCTTAAATGGTTTTATTGCATTTTTTTTGTTTTGCATTGAATATAGTTAAACTAACAGGCTCTAATTTCTTGGTCTAACTGTATTGTTATAGAAAAATAATTTACACAAAAGAAAAGACAGCTGCTGCATTTAAATTAAAACATACCTCTGTTGGGATCATGGAGTTTGCTTTCTCTATCAGTAATTCTTGCTCTGACAGCTGCTTTAAAGCCAAATCCATATGCGAGTTAAGGTGAGAAGCTGTAGTTCTGGTATGCTTGGCCTGGGTCAGAATGGCTTTGGATCCCTGAAAACAAGATACAAAACATAAAAAGTAAATAAATAAATTCAGAATAGTTAGAGGACACAAACAAAGGTTGGCAATAATGTCCATTTTCTTTCACAGTAAAAGGTACTTGAAATTAAAGTCGACCTTCAAGCTCAAAAGCTAGGCCTACTATTACGCAAATCACTTGTGACCAAACGCCATTACCTGATAAACTGGATTTGGATGGAGTTTTGTTATTTGGATTACAATCTTTTATTTTGAAATTGATTTTTAAACACTGATAAAAAATAAATCCTTGGCAAGATCATTGAAACATTAAAAAACAAATGAAATAATAGAAAGAGTGCATCATCAGACAGAAATTAAAACCAATATCACTAATCACTTCCAAAACACAAGATCGTCCAAAAAACAATGTAATGTATTTTTAAAGTTGAATAAATAGATAAACGATCTATTGATCTGTAAATATAATTAAAAAAAAACAGCCTGATCTAAATTAAATGTATATGAGCCAAATTTAAAGTGTCACAAAGCTACTTTTACATGAAAATATAATAAAAATATAAAGATATAAAATAAAAGATCTTTAAAAAAACAAAATAACTAAGAAATGATTACTCTTTTTTAATGTTTAAGTTGGAGAAAAGGGGGAAAAATTGATTAAAGAGAAATAAAAAAAAACTAATTTTATCTTCTGCCATGTTAATTTTTGACCGAATGCTTTTTTGTTTAAAAAAGTAAAATTTGCTTAAAGAAGCTAAATTTTTCTGTCCAAAAATAGCCATTTACACTAATAAAACAAGCACACACCTTAGCCACATCATATGCCATTTGTCCTGCCTCCTGTGTGGTGTTGCTTGCAAGGCTGGCATTTTCCTTGGCAGGTTCTAGCATCTTCTCAATTTGTTTGACCTTCTTCTGGACCTCAGACAGGACCTTTTCTTCCAACGGTCTTTGCTTCTTCAATGCAGCCTTGGTCTGTAATTGCTGATGGGGCCACTCTTCCACCATGTCTAAAGGCAGGGTGTCAGAATTAATATAAGCAGACAAGTTGTTCTAAACTTGGCAAGGTGCAGATTTAAGAAGGTCAGTGTCTCCTGGTTGAAGACTGATCAGTACTGAAAGTTCTTTTTTTCTCATTCAAAATCTTATCCAGGCTGTCTAAGCAGAAAAAAATCCAATGTACTCAACTCTGGAGACAATCTATACTTTGTCTTATCTTTGAATTTGAGTATTTATTAAAAAAAGAAACAGTCTCACTTTCTATTTTCTTATGCAAGGTGATGGCCTCGGACTCCACTTCTTTCCCCTTCACCACAGATGTTAAAGCCGCAGTGTTTGCTGCCTGAGCACGTCCCTGTAGCTGCAGAAAGAATGGATAAACCCAAAAATTAAACCCTAAAATTTGTAAATCAAAGTCTCTGTAAGAGCCATGTCGATAAACCTGCATAACTTCCCATTAGTTTGAAAGACAGCTGAGGTTTTTACAGATCAGCTCTCGTCACGTGGCTCTGAGTCAATAAATACTTCAATGCTTGAACATGTTATCATGCAAGAAAGGCTAACTTTGAATGGCAGTTTTACTTACAGAGTGGGCGGTATGTGTTTATTACTCATTCATTAACATTTGGTGTCCATACCAGTGACTGCTATGAGTTCTCTATTGATACAACAGGTTAGATAAAGAATAAATAAATGAAAATAACCCCAATCTAAACAAACACTACATCTAACATGATATTAAATGAGTATTATGGGTAAATTTCTATCGGCTTACTAGCAGACTTGTAGCACCTTTCACACACACAGATGCCCATTTCAAATATCCAACATTGTAAGATAACTATTGCAGGTTGTCTTTGTTTTTTAAAGGCTAATAACAGTTTAAAGCCACAACATGAGGTTGTCTTACAATGTTAATCTCCATCTGCGATGGTCAAAAATCTCAATTTAAACTGGTATTGATTTTCTACCCTATGGAAGTGATTTAACCATCTGAGTTCAATTATTCAGGTAAGTGAGAAAATACTTTTACAAAATAGTTTGTGCATATGATGTAAACTTTAATAAAGGCTTAGAAAAAAAACAGCTTAATTTAGTAGTTCAAAAGATTAAAATTCAAAAGAAGAATATATATATAAATATCTGTCAACATACTTACCATTTTTATCTTGTCTTCTTTTTCAAAGTGTTTCTTGACAGTCTGTTTTACTGATTCAGCCACCCTGCTGATGTTACTGATGAGAAGTTCCTTGGCCCCAATTTGTTGGTCCAGCTCTTCTGTCTGTTGCAGTAGTTCCTCACTTAACTACATGGTAATAACAGATATACAGTAAATAAGCCCAAATCATATAAAAAGAGTTTTATTTGAATATAAAATAGCCACTGCGTGACATTTTCTCATGAGGTCACATTGCCTCGTAGATTTCAAATCTCTAATAAAAAAATCTGATTCTAAACATTGCAGTTTACAGTGTTTTGTTTGCTTGAAGATGCTGAGCATGATCACTGCTGTCTGGAATTATATGTACTCTCTGAGCAGTCTGCCAAAATCTTTTCCCTCTGTGGCAGATTGGTGTTCTTTGCTTGCAAAATGTTTAATCAAGGGGAAAACTTCAATTGCTGGTCATCTGTCCTCCCCAGCCATTCAAATTTAATTTTACATGCATCTAAAGCTGCTCAGTTATATCTATTTTAGACAAGTTCAGGCAATGCAAAAGTTGTTAATGCATTAGATATTTTTGTTTTTTGTTTTTTCATTGCAGTGACTCTTCCCTAAATATTTGTGGTCAGTCGATCTAATAGTTCTGCTGAAATCTTCTCTCTTATGGCCTGTGGACCTCTGCAGCCAATAAAGAGTGATTTTTTTTAACAATAACCTTTTAAAGTATTCCATATCTATATTATGCAAGTTCAGTTAACATGACTTTTATCATATATTCCCTACAATCACCCACTCACGTAGCAACACTGCTGTCTGGACTGACCTGTGCAGTGTGATTCTCCAGATGTGTTTGGTTAAACTCAGTTTGCTCCATGTCTGGTTCTGTTCTCAAAGTCAGCTGATGTAAGGATGATGTGATGTTGCCCAAAGAAAGCTTGGAAACGGCATCTTCTTTCTCCACAGCCAAAAGTTCAGCTACGGTAGTATTCAGCAGCACAGTGAGGTTTTCCTTCTGCTGCTGCATTTGATTTATTCTGGCATGAAAGAAGTAAGAAAGTGACGACGATTAGTCACACATAAGGTAACAAAGATAAAATTAAAATGAACCTGAATGTGTTGAATTCATTCGATGTGTGAAAATACCAACACGTGAAGATGTACTTCAAAACCGTTAGTGCCTCATATTCAATACATGTATTCAGAGGCGTTACTTGCGATATTTGACTGGGAAACCCTGTGCTGTTATTGACATTGATGTAACATGGAAGTTTCACTTGAGACTTGAGAGTAAAGAGTAGTAAGGAGACAGTGACACTGTGCAAAGAAAGTGTGATGAATAATGAAAGGTGTTAGACGCGGTGCAGGAGATGTGAAATTTTCCATTTTTATCAGCTTCACAGCTGTAATCATATCCAATATGTTTTGCCTCAACAGAGCAAATACACAAATAGCACAGGTAGTTGGTCTCGGCAGCTCAGCATTCATTTCCTGAGTAATTAATTAACATGTTTGGCAGGGTGCAGGAACCTTCTGATATTCTGACTAAATGTTGAGCTTGTTACACGGTTATGTAGTTTTTATACATTCATCTGAGAAAAGCTATTCAGTTTCATTAAACCTTAAATGTTGATGAAATGGCAAAAGAAAATAGTTGAAGGTGAACTTGAACCACACCAATAAGGCTTATAAGACCAGCAAATTACAGCAACACCCAACCATAAAATGGAAACTGAAAACTGCAGCCTTTTTTTGTTGAAATAAAACCTTCCTAATAAAAAGAAAAAGAATACTATGACGCTTACACTCATTTTATCTCAGGAAATTATATTTTGCTGGTGTGAATTTCTGCATTTAGGATGGCTTATGGATAATTAACCTCATACCATGATTCGCCTGTGTGATTTCTTTATACGTAAAATGTACCTTTTTAACGGGAAACGAAAAACATATTCTGCCCTAATTTTGGTCTATTGCACCATTATTTATATTCATACAACTCTATGTAAAAAGGCTGAAACGGCATGTAAAACAAATGAATCACAGAAGAATAATGTACCTGTTACTGTGTCTTTAATAATCCATTTTTGTTTTACTACCTACTAACCTATATCCAGCTTTTTAATCATATCTCACTAGTTATGAAACTAGCTCTACAACTATAACCATCACAAATGTTAGCGAGACACATTTGATAAGACTGCTGTGGGCTTTTTAACTCCCCATAATGTCAGGAAAGATAATGCCTTATTTATTCCTTCTTTTATTAACTGCACTGAAGGAAACTTCAGTAATAGCTTGTGTTTGCCTGTCAGTGCTCAGACCAGTAACAAACAGCACCAAATTGGTCTCTGTGCTGTCTTCCAAGAAGAAAGTCTCTTTTAAAGATTATGCACAAGAAAAAAAAACAAAACAACTGCTTGCAGAAGACATGCAAACAAAGGACATGAATTATTCCAACCATGTCCTGTGGTCCTATGAGATCAAGATACATTTATTTGGTTCAGATATTGTTAAGCATGTTCAGGTATAAATGTTTTTTTTTCCCAGTACATGTGATTACCAATCCGACAGGGCTTTATTGGATGTTTTTGTTGTTTATGTGTACCATTACTTTCCTGTTATCTTAATTGAAAATTAAAAAATAATAATACAAAATTCATGTTGCATGAAAGCTGTTTTTGCTAAACTCCAGTCGATTAAGTGATTACCATTTAGTGATTCTGAAAAGCACAGCAAGAGACTCAACTGCCTTGAAGCATTTACCAGCAAGAAGTGGGTATTTTACAAAGCTTAATGTGCAACACACTCGGTTTTTACCCTTTTAATAATACGTTTTTGCTTCCTCCTTTGACAAGCACTGCACTTAATAGTTTAGTCTAAGTGGTGAGTTTACCTGGTAACTATTAGAAGTATTTTTAGCTTTAGCAGAAGCAAAAATACTAAGTTTACTAGTAAAAAACAACAAAATGCCACATTAAACTAAAATTCAGACATCCAGTGATGCAAAGTGATTCTTTTTTTCTTTAGCTATAGAAGAGTTTGTCTAAAAAAAAAAAAAAAGATACTAATAGCTTCACTGTTCATGCTTGGTGACGCTGAGACCTGGAGGTCTATTTATAGAAACGGATTCAACACTTTAGCCCCATGGTTCAATAGCTTCCAAACAATAAAATGTCTCTACTAAAGTATCAACAAATGGGGAAATATGTGTGGAAAAAGCAATTTAATGGTGCCCATCTGTGCTAAACCCGCTCACTTTGCATCCTTCAAAGTGGGCTCTCGCACACATACACAGTGTTGTGCTGCACTGCTCCAGTGATGAACAGAACTCTCCCGAATCAAGCTGACTCCTGTTAGGAGGGGGTAATCAATTTTGAGCTCCTCGCTTCTTTGCTCTCATCATGGCCACCGGAGGGCTTTTTGCATCATTCTGTCTGGCGTTCGGGATAATCCTCAGAGCAATCACACGCTAGGAGATGCAGCGAGCACGCTGCAAATCCAAGAGAGCAATAGGCTTACAGCAGAGAGAAGCTGTCCCCCCTGTGACTAAATGTCTTACTCCTAAACTCCAGCGTGCTTTAAAAAAAAAGGGTGCAGTGAAAGAGAAGGCTTTGGGTTATAATGTGAGGATAGGTACACTTTGTTGGAAATACAGTGCAAAAGCTTAAAAATGAGCTGCCTGGTGGATTTATAAATAAAGACTGTTTTGTGTTAACACCTTGAGCATTCTTTCTGTTTGTGTTTCCTTTTTGTGTGCATAAATTAAATGTTTTTGCTCACTGCTCCATCAGATTCCTAATGTACTCCTCTGTAGAGTTGTCCTGCAGTAGATCCATCAGCAGGCTGAAAGTCTGCTTTGACTCGCGTACCGCCCTGCTGGCTATGGCTTCAATGTGGTCCGCCGTTTCTCTGTGACTGCAAAGAAAGAAAAAAAAGGAGTACAAAGTGAAAAAAGGGAGAAAAAAAGCATGCAGCGCAGAATAATAGACCATTATGATAGCCTGAGGAAAGGTGAAATAGATTTCAGCATTGATGCTTTCCCCTCACTGGATCTCCTGGCCAGGTTTCTGGAACAAGCATATAATAGAGCTCCGAGCTCTGAGGGGTCCAGAGCATCGACCTGCTGCGGTTTAACCACAATGTGAGTGACAAGCACAAAAAAGCAGCCGAGCAGAGATCCACAGATTACTGAAACAGCCTCTGCTTATAAATGATCACTAAAAGCCCATTAAATAGACTTACCTTTTCATTAGGACCTGGGAGTCATTGACCATTATGCTCCATTTGTTAGGCGCTGACATGGCTTCAAAAGAAATGATCTGTGAAAATGATAGGGAGGGAAAGCAACACATTGAGTGGGAGGACTAGCTTTAAACTACAGTACTTCCACAGTTTTCATAAAAGGATATGCTACTGATAAAAGATTTTTTATACCCTAGAGAAACAGTAAATAAATACAGGTCAGAGTAAAACCCACATTTACTGTAAGTTGTTTTCATATTTTACAAATGTCTGTTCTTGGAAGATGTGGTGGTTTGTTTTGTTCAGACATTTGATCTATGGGGATTTTCCTACACAACAAACTCTCAGGTTAACTAAGAGTTGGAAGACGAACAGATAATATCCAGTGTGAAAAAGTTAGGTGAATTTCAGAGGTGAAGCTGCAGACTTATAGGATGACAAGCAGCTTTGCTTCAAATAACCATGCTTAGCTTAGTATGTGCCCTTTCTAAAGGAAGAAGATGAGCAACAGCAGAGATCAAAAAACAGGAGCCCCTCCTGTCAGCTAAGAAATGGAGCAAGAGTTTCCCCATAATTGGTGAATAACAGGTTGGGAAAACATTACCTGGTCTGATGAGTCTCTAGTTAAGCCTTGACTTTCAAAAAGTAGGGTCAGAATTTCATAAAAGCAGGAACCCATCCTCAGTCATATCAATGTTTTCTGGTGGAGGTGTGGCGGGGGCTCGCTTTAGGCCCCTTAGTATCAATTAAATATCATTTAGATGCCCCAGCTCACCTTGGTGCCTATTGCTAACAATTCCATTCCTTTACAACCACATTTTGATGCTTAAACTAAGCAGAATTATGCTCCATCTCCAAAGCTTGAATCCTCTTAAATAAATTCTTGAGCATACCAATGAGATCCCTGTACTGCAGTGGGTTGCCAGATCTCAATAAACCAGAGCGCCATCTGGATATGTTTGAATGGGAGAGTTACATAAAGGATGTACAGCCAACAAATCAGCTTAATTTATGCCACAAAGAAATAAGGCTAATCTAAGGGTGAAATGGGGTCCATGCTTAAATAAACCAGTCCATGTTATTAAACATATGCATACATAACCTGAAGGGTTGCACTATGCTGTTGAACACTGAGTGACATTCAGTTTGGAGAAATGCAAACAGACCAAGCAAACTACAATTAACACTGTTTAATTCTTTGCTTGTTTTTTGAAGACTGCCTGTCTATTGATTACGACTTTAAACAGCTGCTGCAGGTGATGAGAGCTTTAGAGTTTTAGTTTAATTCTTTGCTTGTTATGTGCAAGAACAAAGATGCTTAGAAAACTCGGATAGAAGAACTTTGGCAAGAACAAGCTTACTGATCACTCTAAGATTTAAATAACATGGCAGACAGATCCATGGATGCTTCCTGCAAGCCCTGGGCAGACAATAAACGGCCTCCTAGTGGGCGAAGAACAAGTCCTTAATTTAGGAGTCCATTAAAGACAAGTTTAACTCTTGCTTTTGGACACAGTGCTTTGCTACTTAGATGGAGTTGGTTCATAATAGAGGTAGGAGTGGGGGTGAGAGGTCTATTGTGTGAGTGAAAAATCCCATAAAAATGTTAATTGTTATAATTTGGAGGTTTAATTTATTTTAACTGTAAAACCACATATGGATTCTCTTTGGAAAAGATTACACTTACAAAATCAAATATATAAGTATTGGTCAAATGTTTATTCACAAGACACAGAGAGACAAAACCTTTTGGTGCTAACAAAGTCCTGGGTTCTGTTTGAATATTTGAATTTTATTAAAAACAGAAACAGTCAAGTTGTTTTTCCAGCGTTTTTATTCTCAAAACACTGTTACAGGTACAGCACAACGTAATTCACTCTCTGCATTTAACCCATCCCCGCTTGGGGAGCAGTGGGCTGCCATTTCCGGCGCCCGGGGAGCTTGAAGTAACTCCCCTAAGTTACTAAGTTCCTGGTTTTCTGGCAAGAATCATAAACATAAATAAAGGTGGGTTGGGCCACTAAAAAAGGTTAGCCGACTTAATGCTACACCAACTTTTTGTTTGCTTGATGTCACTAACTGATCCATCCTGGAAGCACAGTCCATACCATCAGCTCATTTGTGTATGTGCAACCAGATATACATCAGGGTTTCAATAAATAATGTAATTATTGTACTGAAATTACTAATTACTATCCTTAACCCACCAAAGAAGGCTAATAAACATCTTTAAAAAATATTTTAGAACCTTTCTGAGAAATTTTTTTTGATGCTTTTTACATTTTCTCCGTCAAAAAGAGCAGTCCGGCAAAACATGATTAAACCATGTTTATCTGCATTTTAGTTGTTTCTTTCTTCAGGTTACGCACTATTTACCATAAGGTTAACACAAGAGGAAAACATAAAACTCAAAAATACTAGATTTATGTTTAAATTCAAAGCCAAAAATGTTAGCTCCCGGAAGTTGCATAGGATTCCATATCCGGAGCAGATCGGACAAAGACAAGTGAAAAAACAGAAAGGATTTTAAGGCATTTTTCCCCCTTGAAATACATGATTAACCTTTAACACATTATAGTTTAAATGCTTACTTTTTATGGGGGAGGGGAAAAACATAATTTTAGGTATTTTTACAGAATAAAATGGAGAGCGAAAATGAGCTGCTGGTACGGATTGTGCTTCCAGGACGGATCAGATAGTGACACTTGAGACCATCTTTTTCTTGAAACATCCCACCAGCTATTGGGTTGAGGTTACTCTGGAGGTAGCCATTTAATTATTACACCATCCATTGTGCAATGCATCAGTAGTGTTAATGGTGACCCTGAGAATTATCCAATTTTCACCGTGTTTGACAGCTGGGACTGTGTTTTTCAAGTATAAATGCCTAAACTTGATTTTTCTCAACCATTTTTCTTTCCCCTGAGGATGACAGTTTGGGTCAAATGGTTAAAACATGGACAGAGTTCAACAATCCAATCACATGTAAAAACAGGTCTTCTTAGGCTTATTTCCTAATGGAATCTTTATAACCTATTTATCTATTTAGAATTTAACCTATTTAGAATTTAAGGACTTTAAGGGCTTTAAAACTGATTTGTAATATCAGATCAAATAGTTAATATTATCTCTGCAAACTCCTTTTTTGCCAATTAAGCCAAAAGAGGTTAAATATCCAGCCAGTATAAGACAGAAGATTGCAAATGGCAAAACATGTGGGCGGGCAGCAACTCGAGAGGTTCATAGGGGGCATTCATTAAAACTTTAGTTGGGATATTTTATGTAAATATTTAAGATCATTCGGTCAATTACAGTATTTTAGATTTGATCATTTTCAGAAAAAGGGGAAATGTAAGAAACATGAAATAGTCAGGAAGGTATAGTATATATGATGACTTTTTTTTTCCACTGTGAGGAAATTCAGGTGTGTTACTAGCAAAGAATAGATAGTTTGGTTGTTATTAGATGGATTGCACTCAATATTTTTTTAAAGATTTGCAGCTATATCTTTGTCATATTTGTTACACTGTTTATATCTACATTTGGATAAAAGGTAGGACTCAGTGTCCATTAGAATTTGGTTAGCCTAGTTCCACTGAGGGCTTTATCTTCTGCAGCACCCTGTTTCCTGTTTGACTCCTCTAATATACACTCTTCACTTACTGTTATAAATCTCAGATTAAGAATCTTTCTCACAGAGGGCCCTTCTCATATTACCAGCTATAAATTGCATGTCTTACCCAGTTTTTGGCCCAATCTTCAACCATCCTGAGGGGTGAAGTAAAAACTATCATTAGTCCTTTGAGACTTCTGCCTGACAGCCTTGTTTTGACAACACTTTTTGCAGTTTGGAAACCAGAATCTTTTATTTTATTTTAAAAACTGATGAAGTTGCTCTTCTCCCAGTGAACAAAGCTTGAAGTATTGATTTTTTGATGCCACACTCAATTTTGGTCAGCCTGATCGTGCCTTGGATACAACTCATCCAGTTGTATCGAAAGTGTTTTGGAGTGCAATGCAGCCTTTAGAACCTGTCAATACACCTGTAATAGGACAGAGGAGGCCCTGCTTTGCTCGGAATACCAATAGCACTTCAGACACCTTCAATTACATTTGGCACTACTTCCCTTTGTTGGAACCTTTTTGTTTGTTTGTTTTTACAGGAACATATGTTTACCTAATCGTTTGTTGTTTTAACAGGCTAACTTGAATAGAGTATTACAGTCTTGGGCGATTGCCAGTGCTGAAGTTAGCTTCCATTGGTTTTCCTCTTAGTTTGTTTTCATTTAGGGTGCTGCCAGCTTGCCATGACACTATTCCAGGCTTTATAGTTTTGGTCTTTCATTTTACCAATCTGTAACTTTGTTCTATTTAGATAATCTAACTAAGTAGTTAGTAGCTGCTTTGGCAATCCACTATTTGAAGTAATTTCCTTTAGCTTGTAATAGTCTGTTGTAAGGAAATGTATGAGTTAAATGTAAGGTTAATTTATATTTTTCAGAATATAATACCATTTACACCTGTAACTTTTTGGAGATAAGCGTTTCGAAAGATGTTTTATGAAAATAAATAAACCAAAATAAGCAACCTGAGCATTAAGTAGATTGGTGCAAAATAATTTACTTAACGGTGCAAAATGAAAGTTGGTTAGCACAATATGACAGAATGTGGTTGATTAGCAAATGGGAGGAATTGTCATTAATCATTAATTGTGTTAGTTTTGGACATTTTATGCATAGTTCATAACAGTATAGTCTTAGAACTTGGACACAAAGTCCAGTGGATTGTTTTTTAACTGTTTTTGAAATTGTCATCTATGACCTGGATGACTGAGAATCTTCACCAGCAGATGTGTTACAAGGTGAAGGGTGATGCAATCTTTAAAGTCAAGGAAATCTATGCACTCCATGGCCACCCTTGGTGATGTCATCACTACTATACAAGCTAACTTTACAAATGACTGAAACTGAGCATCTGTGTCACCCACCACGTTGTCCAGGTCCAGCGTCGCCTGCTTCAGCTGATCCCTGGATGTTCTCATCATCAGCAGGATTTCTGTGAAGATTTGACACGCTCCTCTACGTTTCGCATCCTTTCTCCCATCTTTCCCTTCTTCCCCATCCTCTTCTTCCGTCATGCTGATGCTGCAGTTCAAACCAATTGTAATGCCATGCAGCTGAGCTGAAAGTGCGCCCGCTGAAGCTTCCAGCAAGGAAAATTGTTTTATGAAGGCCTCCCGTGCCTCTGGAAGAACAAAGCAAATAAAAACCGCATTAAGCCTTTCATGGATTATTTCACTGAGAATGTTATTCTTCCCAAACCCTTTGTAGCTCACAACTATCTCGCTTTCTAAACTCTCATTTACCGGGGTAATTCATGCAAGGACTCTCATCATTCCTTCCCTTCTGGTGGAAGAAAAAAAAAAGAGAGAAAAACATATGGGAGTATTTCCAAATTCTAACATCTCTGTCAAACTCACTTTGTAGATTATGCAGTTAATCTGACTGGCTGTATTGGCAAGCAGTAAGGGAGTGAGTACAACCAGTGTAATACGTGTTGGTTGTTGCTTCATTTCATGAACTTGTCTTATGAAATGAAATTAAATAAGAGTGCTTGTCCCCATATGGGTTTTTTGCCTCTTCGCACCCACACAGTGAGCCTATGGCTCCCAGATGCTCATTATATTATTACCAGGCCACCCAGTGACTTACAAAGCAGGGCTGGAATATGTGTGTGCGTGTGAGTTGTGTGGGTGTTAGGATTTGTAAGACAACTGTTATCATGATTGCAACTATAATCATTATAAACCGGGGATTAGAGATGCACTGCCTGTCATATAAATAGGGATTAAGTTAGTCACATGGTGCCTTGTTTTATATTGTTATGATTTGTCTCCATTTGGCCTGTGCAGCTGAGCCTGTAAGCCTGTTCCCCTCGAAAGATAATGAGGATATATCAGCATTGTGTTAAAGTAATTGGGAGAGGTCGGTATTGTTGCCTGCTTTCTGATTTAGTCACTTTGTTGTGACCTACGTGTAGCGACGTCTCAGCGGGGGAGACGCAGAACGGCCATCTGCAGACAGCCAGAGCTGGTGTCATGTCAAATGTTCCTCCGATGCTACCTGGTCTTCGCCTGTGCACTGATATTCTTATCATCTCCCAGACAGGATGCAGCCCAACTGATACAAAGGGAAGCAGGCTAGCTTCCCATTTTACAAAGAAAATGTTTGTCATGTATCTTAGAAAGTGACAAACATGGGAAGGGCGGGTCTTTGAAGGAGTGACAGGCCAGGTAGAATAGCTGCAGTACCTTGGAAGGCCAGAAAATCCTCTAGTGCGTTTGGAAAAGCATCATCCCTCTGGTGTTCCCCCTCATAAAGCTGCGGCGTGCTGTACTTCACTGGGTGGTACCGCTTCCCAAATCTACCTCGGCAATCAAAGTGAGCCAGGAGCCTGTCCAGGTTCTGCAGATGAGCCTGAAGCTTTTCGGCCTGAAACAACACCATGGTTTTAAAGGTATCAGTTGGAGTTCAGGCAAAAAAATAAATAAATAAATAAATAAATAAAAAAAGAAAAGGAAAAACACAGGACATAGAATAAAATAATGTGGCTTCAAACTATCTGTATTCATTTATTCAGATAAAAAGATTGAGATGTGACTTCAATTCTTAGTACACCTACGTATGAAAATGTAGTATTTCAACAAAAGCAATGAATAAATGAATATCAACAAGATGATAAGGATGGAATACCGTTTTCTATCTGAATCCTCTCTCTGCTCTGTGTGCCATAGGCTGAAGAGGAAAGTATAGCAGGAGATAAGTACATAGACTTCTACAGAATAAAAGTCTAAAGATGGAATAAAAGGGACCTTTGGTCTTGGCAGTCAAATGATTAAACCCACATTTAATGAACGAGAACTTTTATGTTGCTGTGATTAAAAAGTTTTTTTTAGGAGGGGGCATTTTGCATAAGTTGCACAAAACACATATGTGATTATCAGATGGGCTGTCTGCTTTTAAGTAACCAAAAAGTCTATCAGGCTGAAATGAATAAGAAACAAGTATTCTGATTTAACTCTTGTCTTTAGATAACTTTTACTTTTAGTGTTTGATGAACCTTTCTTATTATTTTTTAATAAAGAACAAAGACATTTGCTCTGCTCTAATGGGACTAGAACAGAACTTTGCTGCCAAAAGGAAAACTTAAAGGTATAGTGGAGGTTTTTGTTTTTTCAGTTTGATCATCAAAAAAAAAAGTGGTCCTCCTAATTGTCAATCATTCTGGTGATATGTTTAAGTAAGGCCGTCCTATGTGCCCGTCCCCATTTTCACTTATCGGTGGTGAGACTGACATTGTAGAAAAATTGCAAATCTTTTTTTGGAAAGTAAGCTTGTATGAGCGATGCAAACAGCAACTTTTAAACAGAGCGTGCATGAGGAGAAACTGGCTCCTGCATGCTCTCGCACGCATTTAATAGGCGTTCCCTCTGGGGAGTGGGCACAGGGTTGTGCATGTGCATTTTGGAGTGTGGAGAGGGTGGGTCTTTTAAAGAATTTGCTAAAATCCTCCACAATACCTTAATTTGTGGCTGAAAACTGGACACCAGAAGACAGTTAGACAGTTATTGTGGTGAAACATGGTGGGAACAGCATCCTGTAATAAAGATGTTTTATTGAATCATGGACAGTGAGACGTGAGGATATATAAAATACTGATGGAGCTAAATTAGAGGGGACAATTAACAATAAAATAAATAGACCAAAACATGTTTGTGTCTTAAAACCAGACCTGCATCCAATGGGGAATGAGCCTCAACTTTTTAAAATTGGAGTCCACCCATTCTGACTAAGCTTGAGCAGCTAAGGTTAAGCTTCAAGGTATGGGCCCTTCAAAGATTTGCAATTATCAATACTTTAAACACTAACATTCATTTTTTATTAGGCAGTAGTTTGAAATAAACATATAACTCTTTTTGTTGCAAAATCACATATGAAAAAAATCAAGTGGAATGAATGAGTTTTGCCCTGTTGTTTTCCCACTTTCCTTTCTATTATATCTAAAGACAAATTTGAGCTTCAATACAGGGCGGGGCAAGAGGCAGAGAGGGAGAGCAGGGGGGGAGACAGAGGACAGAGAGAGTAATTGCAACAGTTCAGAGCAGACAAGGGTTGGGATGTTTTCTGAATGGCTAACACTGTGGAAATCACTGAGGCATTCAAAGAGGTACAAGTCGCTCCTGTTAGGACATGCAGCCACTCTGGCCAAAGGAAAGTAATATGTGCAGAAATAAAAGTAGAAAACTTCAAGGGGTATTGGATTCTCTTCAAAAGGCAAATCCAGGGACACACGGTGTCTTTGCGCACAGAACGTGGGCTTCAACAGATCCAAAGGGACAGAAAGAAGCTCAGGAGATCATTAGGGCAAATGTCTCTTTCCGTTTCACAGCACTTCCACTTTTTGCTGGCAATCTCCAATCACAAAGGAGCCATATGGCTGTCATGAAGGTCTACAATGGCAGCATGCTCCAGAGGAATGTGATGTTTTAAGAGAGAAAAAAAAATTACATTGCGTGAAAGCAAGAAGCCAAGAAACACTATGTAGGTGTGAAGCCTATTTATATGCATGAGTGCAGGAACCAAGTGATCAAGACAAATTTATGAAACCCAAAAAGAAACATATAGAAAAAATTGAGAAAGGTGAAGAATATAAAACTGAATGGCAGGAAAAAGGTGTTATATGAGTCAAATAATTTACATTAGATTCTGGAGATATATAATAACCTAGTTGCATAATTTCCTATAATATACCCTAGGATTACATTTTGAGCTGAGCATCTAACATGCTTAGTGAGAACAAGCCAAATGTTGTAAGGTTTAAGACAGATAAGACTCTAAGTAGAGCAAGAACGGGCACAACTAAACCACAAAACAAAAAAAAATCTACTGAGATTTATATGCTCATTAACAGAAAAGCCATAATACTCCACCAATACAGAGAAACGTGTGCTACATGTGCTGCTTACTGCTTATTTTAGAACAAAGATGACAAGAAGCTGGTCTCTACAAATCTCCATAGACAAAAAAGATTGTAGATTGTTACAGGTTTTATCAAAAGTTTTAAAAATCTACAATAAGCTACAATATAGTTATGCAGAATTATCATGCTAAACCTTAAAGTACACGTCCTTAAAAGTAGGAGGTATAAAAAGAATAGATTAAAGGAAGAGAATGCTCAGACAAACAAATCATTCCTGAACTAATTACCTAGCCTACAGATTTCTATTTAATTTGGTGTCATTGAACCATAAACCATCATATTATGCCCTTTTTTGATATTTGAGTACATTATCAATGCATAGTTCCCATGTGAATCATATGTGTGGATTCACTTTGTCGCTTGGCAGAGTCGCTTTAGAAACTGCTGAGAAGGTTTGACAATGAAGTAACTATTTTGTTCTTTTTTTAATATTTTTTGTTTCAACTATGCAGATGGTTTGGCAAAGCACAGTTTCCCCTATGTCCCAAAATCAGAGCTGTGCATTCACCCAAAGTGAGCCACTTATTGTCATTGCATCCATTCACATCCATCCAAAGGCTTAGACTTAAGGACAATTAACCGATTCACTTATCGGTCACATTTACGGGCTTGGAGGGAACCAGGGTACCCAAAGAAAACCCAAAGATGCATGGGAAGAACTTTTAAACTCCACCCTGAAAAACCCCAGGCCGGCCCAGATTCAAAACCAGGATTTTAGGCTTAAAGGAGCATTAGAACAAATATGACATTCATTAAAGTTATTATCTTGAGTGTCTTTATCATAGAAAGGATCTATAACAACCGGTACTCACCTGTTTTTTGACAAGGCCATAGCAAACTGGACATTCCTCACACTGGTGAGTGGCTCGGTTATGGAAGTAATTCATCTCACATTTGTTGCATTTGTGACCCACAAAACCCTGGCGGCACTGACAGGTGCCATCAGTGTGGCACTGCATGGAAGCGGAGCCCATTGGGTCACAGTTACAGGCTGGACGAAACAGGTTTAGATGGTAGAGGAGTGAGAAAGTAAAGGTAAACAATCTAAGAGTTAAAATAGCTTTCATGTTTGATCTATATTTAACGATTAGACAAGGGCACAGAGTGCAGCTGCAATGCCTGAAGTAAACTAGTGTACCTATACAGCCTCGTGAGGAGAATCCAAAAAAGCCCACACGACAAGAGCCACACAGGTTCCCCTCCACTCCTGCACGACATACACACTCTCCTGTGATCGGATGGCAGGCCATCGACAGAGAGCCCACTGGGTTACATTTACACCTGGTGATGGAAGGAAAATATCGTAATAGCAGAGATAATGCGTAATCTTTCATATAGACCCTCTTTCAGATGTCATATGGAATCAATTTACCTTTCACATCCAATGCCAGGTTGAAGGTTGAAGAAGCCGATTTCACAGTGACTGCAATCCCGCCCGGTCACATGACTGAGACATCTACAATATCCAGTCATAGGGTGGCATTCATCAACAGGCCCAGAGGTACCTGCTGCATTGCAGCTACACGCTGGAGAAAACAAATAAAGCAATTCAATAGTTCACTGAGAAACAATGATATATTGTCGTTCTTAAATTTGAATGGATATATTTTACTGGTTTTATCTCATTTGAGTGCTGGAGGAAAAATGAGATAAAATGACAGACAGGAGTATAGAAATTCAATCATCCCTCTGCAGCTCTGTACTTTGGATTATATCAATAGGGAATTATAAGAGGACTAAATATAGGAAAAGGGATACAAAAGTAAGAGAAAAAAACACCAAGGCTGTTTCCCTTAAGGTCTTTTTCTGCTTTTATTTCAACTTAATTCACAGATTTTACCTTTTCTAATTCAGGCACTGTTTTTTTCAGTGATCAACTGTGCCATTTGCACCTCATTTAAAACTTGCCTTTTTGTTGCCTAAAAGAAAACACCACACACCTCTACACCAGAAGTAACAAATTGAAATTGCTATTCTTGCATTACTGTTAACAGAAAACTCAGAACACTGGCACAACTGAATTTATAAGATGCAAAACTTTGTTTTATATATCCTTTCTACTGCAGTCTGAAGAGAAAGGCTTTTGAGGGGTTGCAGTGTAATATTAGCTACCTTAGACTTTCATGAGAGATTTCTCTCTCAGGTTTCTTTAAAAGAACATTTAGAATCTGAGTTTGTCAGACCTCTGATATGATTTAGCTTTAATGGTTCTACATCAGCTACTTCAGTATTGGACTTTTCAACATCACAGTTACAAATGCAGCCTTGACTGCAACATACCACACATATTTTCTGCATGGAAAGCAAAACACTTCTATAAGAAGTTGGGCATATAATATATATGTATACACACAACTAAAAAAATTAGAATAAAGGACACTAAATGGTCACTAATCTGGACTAATTACGGTTGAATATTTGACCACTTTTACAACAAACAAATAGAGAGTCTATTTACATTGTTTTAAGGTAGAGAGTAAGCCGTGCAAAAATACTGCACAGACAACCAAGCATGGTGGTGACAGTATTATGCTTGGCAGTCTGTTCCACTGCCTGTTGGTGCACTAAATAAAATAGCTGAACTAAATGGGTTAATTCTCCTCTATATTCAGCTTACATCGCAAGCTAAAAAGATAAAAATTTGGATATAACAGGATGTTCCAAGAAAGTTAAACTTCTCAGCAGTTCTATCAGTTCGGAAACAATTAACAATATGTTAGTGGGGGTGTGTGTACAGTATATGTTTGTAAAGCGCAGATATAGCCTAAACCTGTGCAAATGCATACATTTGGATCCAGTTCTTGTTTGTTGTTGTCCTTTTAATCTCTTAAATGCCAACACTAAGAAAATAATTACATAAAAAGGGCAAACTCTTTCTGATAACGCTGTCTATAAAAGATAAGTAAATAAACCTCTAAATAGAACTGCAGCTTCAAAGAAGTTCTTTCATTTTTAATTAATTCACAGACCCATATTGTTTAATTTTATGCCGTCTTTGTTACTCACGCCTGCATTTCTCTCTGGCTGTTTGGCTCAGGGCATCGCCATAAAAGCCCCGCTTACAGCGCTGGCACTGGTCGCCCTCTGTGTGCCCGAGGCACTTTAGGCATCGCCCAGTGAAAGGGTCACAAACTCCCACATCATTGAAATCCACGTTTCCATTGCAGGTGCACCTTTCGCAGGGGCGGGCCGTCCCGGACGTTCCCAGGGGGTCGCCATAGTAGCCATCCTCACACATCTGACAGCGCATACCTGGAAACATACAATGAAAGCAGGGGGCCATAACAGGGAGGTTGGCGGCATTGCTGAAGGTCATTTTCTTGAAGAATTAGACTCTGTTCTAATTAAATTAAATCTGCTGATTAAATGTGCCTGCCACATGGGGGGTATCCTGCAGTGGCAGGGAGAGCGAATGAGCTGATAAAGCAACAGTCTGCTCAGTAACAAGCTGATTTATGGCTATATAGTTTGATCTTGTCAGAATGCTCTTGTCTACTTTCTTTACTGTCCAAATCATCTTAAATTGAAGCAATCTCTTGTCACCTGTCTGTCCTGCAGGGCAGTTGGTGCAGACCACCTGTCCGGTCTCTGCGATGAGGGCACAGCTGCTGCGGCCTGGGCAAGGGCAGGCCTGACAATCACCAGGTGTGCCAGTCAAGGCGTTGCCATAGTAGCCATCCAGGCAGCGCTCACACGTTGTACCGGTGGTGAAGTCTAAGCACTCACACATCCCTGTAACACAAAGAGGAGTTACACATTTGTATCACATTGGAGAGTCTGCCTATGAATAAGCAGAAGAAAAAGGTTTTCTCTCCTTGCCAGCAGAGGGTGCTGTGTCTCTGACCAAAACAAGCAAATATGACTGTCCATATTCTGCTTCAGAAAAAAGAAAAGAAACAAACATAACTTCTCTACAGTACACCATGGAGAGCAGAAGACAACTAAATTCACCCCGGCTATAATTGCTTTGGGAAATATGTGAGCCAAATGCAGTCCAAAAGACCTTCAAGAAGCAAAGCAATTCCCCCACCATGAAGGGGGGGGGGGGGATTACCAATTCTATGAAGTCCAAAGAACAAACCGTTGTTTGGAAATTCATAGGAAAAAGAAAAGAAAATCAGCTCTCAGCGATAAATGTGCAACATGTGTTGATTTACACTTGCATACACACTAAAGCCCTGAATGCATTCTATTCAATTTACAGAGCAGATTTTCTGTCCACCTGTTACATTTTAAATCCATTAAGCTAAAGGAGACTACTGAATGATATGGCACGACACAGACCTGCCAAGCTATTCACAGCAGTGATTCGATGCGCGTGTACAGTATAATGCAAAAAGATGCTTAGCATGCTGGGGGTGTACTTCTGTTGCTGTTGAGTGACTCAAAGTGGCCCAACATCCCTGCTCAAAGACAATTATGCCCACAAACACCCTGGGAGCCAGCTATGGCTAATGATGTCTGAGATGAAGCAGCAAAAATATGATATGATGCATAAAAAAGAAATATCTTTTCAAATATTTTTATTTGATGGCTAAGAATCTCAGTAACATTTATTTCCAGTATTACCATTAATAATTTTATAATGCTTTGTAAAATGTTTTATCCCCTTTTCTACATAAAAACTACTGACAGATTTTTATGTAATATGCAATATGGCTCTCTACCAAATGCAGCATGCCCTGGGGGATGCCTAACACACTTTGGGTAAAATTAATCTGTTAATTTTTATATAAGATTAGACTTATACAAACTTTATTGTCATTTTGTATACACAGTGTTTACAAAATGAAATTTCGAAGGGAACACATTTCAACAGTGAAATGACCATTAAGATTCATAAAGTGCAAGTGATCAAGAATGTAAACAGTGTTGGCGAAAAGAAAAAATAGTTTGAAAGTCATGGTGCAAAAGGCATTAACATGGAAAGGTTCAGTACAGTGCAAAATAAATAAATATGATGCAAAATGCAGTAGAACATTGAGCTGTATTTTAATGACATTGTGCAAGAAGCATGTGGATTAATCTTAATATTTAGTCTAAATTCATACTATTTCTTTTTAATAAAGAAATGCAGAACTCATTGCAGCAAAAATCTAAAGTACTTTTTATGGTCAAATGTTGAGAGGTATAAGCTAATATCTATTTTATTCCCTTCACTTGTTTTTTAGCTAAAATATGACCTTGATCTTTTTTGACTACAAATCAAAAATACGATGGGGGACGGAATGATTATCCAAAAATAATTCATTTAAAAGAAAGACAGAATTTTAGGCTAAAGATACCCAGAGCTGGTAAAGGGTATCAGAGGGATGGTGCATCATTCGAAGTTTATGTTTTTAATTAAAAAAAACAACATAATGTCATATCTTCCCCTTCACAACTAAAAGTGTACCACTTTTATTTGTTCTGTCAATTTAAACCACAATATAAATGAAAACATCATGGTGAAACCTTGAAGAAATCAAAAAGTTTAAATAGAAATTCATGTTTTATGTTGGCACAGTGAACTCTAACAGCAAATTAATCAGTCTTCCTGTTTGCATACACAACGTATCTAAAGGAAAGGGATATAAAGTAGTTGGAATGAGCTCTAAAATCTAATAACCTGTCAAATGACTTTGCCACACAGTGATACCAGTAATTGAGTTTTGACTCTCAAGAGAACATGGCAATGCGATTGTGAAGCATTGCAAATAATCTGAAGCTGTGTGACTTAACTGGGGTCTCATTAAAGTTTCCCCATCATTCCCTTGTTGCCCACTGTGTGCTTATAGGTGAGAAGCTCTTTGCCTTGTATTTTTAAGTCAGCCTGCGCACCTGAAGAAAGTCTCTTCTGTAGTTTGAGGTCACTCCCGTAGCTACAAGGAACAAAATTAAAAGTCAAACGCTTAAGACATATTAATGGCGGGAAAGCTAAAATGATCCCACGGCCATGACTTCATGATGCGTCGTGAAGTGCCAACTTCTAGTTAGAAATGATTAGGCTTTTTTCTTTGATAAGGTGAGTTGCATAATAAATTATAATCTAGCGTGAAATACCTGTCATTTGAAGCTAGAAGTTAGCAATAACGATCGTTCCCAGCATAAAGAAGTGAGTCTTTCTTGAATTTCATAAGGCATACAATGACACTGGTGGTGAGCACTGTCAATCCCCAATGAGCCATAGTAAATTTAATGGCAGCAGAAATGTGCTGACTTTACTGTGTGTGAAGATGACTGAGTGTGATATGAGGCAGTGGAGCCACAGAGGACCTCCTCCGCCCTATTATCATTCCATGGCCTCCTCTGCAAAGCTAACGCCATGCATCACAAAATGTCGCTGAATTGCGTGATGCCTCCTCACGTCGTATTTCTTATCACCATGCAAATCACCTTCAGTCTGTGACGTCTCTGCAGAATTATTTTATTAATGAATCAATGAGCATTCATTTGGTGTTAATGAATTGGGATTTCTGCGAATCTCCCCATGGAGCTGCACATTATGAATCTTCACAATTCTGGTATTCTCCCTGCACTTTCTCCCTCTCACACTCCTCCTGTTTCAACTGCACTTCAGCGCTCTGCTCTCTGCCTGAACTCTGCTTGTCTGTTCTGTGATGGGAAACCAATATTTCGGTGTAGGAAACAAGCAGGCAGGAGTTGCTCATGAGCCATCTTCACATAGAGATCACATTTTCACAGAGCTTCCTTCTCCTCCAGCAGCCTCTGTCTTCCCTGAGCTCCAACCCTCTAGTGCGCTCTGTATACATGAATAAACCTTCATCCACTGTATTAATGAAGTGTCTTGAAGGAGGATACACTAGAATGTATGACCGAGCGAAGGCTGCAAGCAGGGGTGTGCAGGACATAAAGCCATACTAGGGTATTCTGGGTCATTTATACATATATGTAGACAAAATCAGAATTTTAAATAGACTGATACTTAGTGCCAAACCTTTATTTTCTTTGGTGGATGTTACATCACACTAAGTGTTTCTAGGTGATAAAGAATTACTAAAAATAAGGGATACTCTTGCCTATCTCCAGCCGTCTACGGGCAAGAACAGGGTACACCGTGGACAGGTTGCCAGTCTATCACAGTGCAACACAGACACAAACAACCATTCATACACACACTCACACCTAGGGAGAAGCAAATTAACCTAACGGTCAAGGTTTTTGGGCTGTGGGAGGAAGCCGGAGTACCCGGAGAGAACCCATGCATGCTCAGGGAGAACATGCAAACTCCATGTAGAAAGAACCCAGGCTGGGAATCGAACCTAGAACCTTCTTGCTGCAAGGAAACAGTTGTACCCACTGTCGCACTGAACAGCCCTCAAATTTTTTTTAGATTACAATTTACATCCACTATGATTACTATGAATTTGGGGAAGCTTGATGATTATAGAATGATTTCACAACAATCAAATTAAACAGAGGAACTTCTATTGATTCATTTAAGGGCAGCACCTTAATCCCACTGCCTACTTGTAAGACATGCAAACAAATAAAAAATAAAACTCTGCGAAAGAGTTGTGGCCCTTCATAAGTTTGGCTCGTCTTTGCAGATTTTAATCAAAAGAAATTCTAAAACGCTTGAAGGTGCCACATTTATCTGTCAAAAAAAATATTTAAGATGTAGGTAAAAAGGCTATTTAACGTCCAGCCCTTATGCCAGTTAAGGAAAGACACAGGTTCTTTGTCCATTAGATGAGCATGTTTTCATGTGAAGTAGGCTGGAAGGATGCTGTAATGCAGAAACCCTTTTACAAAAAAGCAACATATAAAACCAAAGTTTTATTTTTCAAAAATTGTGCAGGTAAAAAAAGCTTCAGTTTAGGACAGTATGTCCTGTTGCCTGATCAAGCTAAAACCATAGCTAAAGTTTTTTTCTACTATATTATAATGACAATTGGCAGGCAGCAAGCTTTCCAACTGTGAAATACAGAAGTGGTAGAATCATGATGAAAGTGTTTTGTGGCAGAGTGGACTTGTGCACATCACAAAATAGATCTAATAATAAGGAAATAACTTTATCTGGATACATTTCCTCATCTTAGGACATCTTATGATATCAATGAGGAATCCCAGATCTCATACTAACAGAACATATTTGGGCTGCTGTGTGATCAAAGATTCATTTTCATTTGAATGTGCTTTACTGGAGACATCCATGTTTGTCAAAGAACACTACTGCCACCAACCGGTTTGTGACGTCACTGTGCGGTATCGGCTGTTGAGCAAATCCCAGTGCTGTATCTCTGTTTTGTCACAACGAGCTATTATCCAAGTCATCTTGGAAACATTCTTCTTCGAAATGTTGGCTACATAATACGTGTTTTTTTTCTCTGGCCGAAAGTTTGATGGCAAATCCTCCATCTTCAATTTGGCAATCAAACGACAAACCCGTCCATGGAGGATCATGATTTGGAAAGGTGAAATAATCTTTTTTTCACTTTTACCCGATGTATTACAACATCAAACTGCCATGAACGTGGGCATTATCAGTTTAACTATAGCTCTCTCGAACATCAATGATGAAGTCCTCTGGAAATCTTGAATATTTGTTGTAGATTGCAGATATGTCTAGTAGTTCCCATTGATTTTACTTGTAAAGCAAGGAGAATGGCGTTCAGCTTACCGCACCGTGACGTCACTGCCGTAAGATGTCAGGAGTAAGGTGTCGTGACGAAAATCATTGTTTCGTTTTTTACTGATTAACACTAAATTCATTAAATCACCGTAAACGT